ATTATTTTAATAAACAACGAGTGTTCCTGTTGAATGATTTTAGACTTAAAGCCGATAAATTTGCCATGTATGTGTTCAAATTCCTGGAGCTAATAATATATTTAAAAAATCTAAATTTGAATTAATGCACAATCAAAGAACTTTAAAAATAAAAAACTTTCAAATTTAATACACATTTTTTATTATATACATAAATAAAAAAATTTTTTTACTTTCGGTATGAATATTACCTTAAAATTTGAGTCGAATACGAGTTAAACAATAATCAGGTCAGGTCGAACAACAGTCGGGTCGAGTCAAATTCAGGTCTGGTAAATATTAACGGGTTCGAGTTCGAGTTTACTTCAAACTTGACCTGATCTGACCCTTTCAGAGTACTATTCATTCCTACCTACTATTTTAAATTTTCTAAGAAAAACATTTACTTGAGAAATCAAACCAAAATAAGCTACGGGATTTTTAATTGATTTCATCAATTTCATTCGTTTAAGCTTGAATGATACGTTGCAAAGTTAGCAATTTCTATTTCTAACAGTGAGTTATTTAAAGATGAATTAATTTGTAAATGAGCAAAGATTAAGTTTTTCGAGATAAAATACTATTGATTTATAAAGATTGATAGCAAAGGTACAATATATTTATAAAAAATACAATAATCTATCTATTATATAACAATGATAATAAAAATTCATGATCATGGTGATCACAAATTATGATTGGCGCAGTAATTTTACGTTGCAACTAATAACGTCAGCATTTTGAATAATATCACTATTAAAGATGAAGCTGTAATTAATTTTAAAATTCTATGTATTATTAGAAGTTTCATCACCATATTCAAGTTTTTTACTATGAATTTTAAGCGATAGGTAATTGTGGCATAGGTGAATTCTTTTTAGTGAAAATGCATCTGTTTTTTTTTTGTGAATAAAAAAAAATAAAGTTAACTTATAAAATAACATGTTGGGTCAAGAAAGTGGTCAAGAAGGTAGTTTTTGCGTCAGACGTCAGATAGTAACTTTATTTATTGAGGTTCTACAATTTTGTAATAATATTAATTTAAAAGGTTGAGTTTCACATTTGATCGTCTTTTAGTAAATTATTTCGTGTCTTTGTTATTATTTGTTTAGGGGCATTAATTGTTCGAGAGAAATTGAAGGAAGACAAGCATTCTTATCTTATCAACTAGTGTCGATGTTTTATAAATATAATCATTTTTGAATTTTATTAAATTTAACCATGGAAAATCGGGTTGAGGAAAATAAGACTACAATATTAAAAAACAAATTAATCCAAAAACACTGCAACATATTCTATACCCTTCTATTTAATCATTTTACATCATCATATCAATACAATTCAAGTCAGATTCATATTCAAAGATCACGAGAAAAAAGAATCTAAACAGTAATATAAACACAAAAAGATTAAGTTCTTACACATTTTCCTTAGACGTTTTATATTTTTTTTGAAATTTCTGCGAAGTCTCCCTTTAATACATTATTTTCATCACGTTTGCTTTAAATAATTTGGGATAATCATCAAGTTTAACTTCAAAATTCATGTTCTCGATTCGACGTCTTGTCACTTTTATATAATTCAAAAAATTGTTTAATTCAATCAAAATATTCATTTTGCTGCTTTAAATAAATATCTTGAATCATGCTTTCGATATGAGGGCTTTCCAAGTAAATCATTCGGAAATTATTTGACCATCTCTTCGTGTTGGTGTTCGATATAACTGAAGTTTTTGATTTCTTCACCTTTCTTTTGAAGCATAAAGTGACGAGTATCTATAAAAAAAAAAGAACAAAAAAGATTTATCAATAATGATCCAATTTATAAATAGAATTAGATCGATAATGGGTAAGATTTTGCATTGGTTTCTTTGAATGATGAAGGGAGATATATCTATTCCTCCTCCTGAATCAGTGGACCTTTTCTAAGGAACCATAATTATGAGAACGGTCTCTTTCGACTACCTCAGTACAAAGAACCACTTCAACAACTTTTACACCCTTACATTACATTTACAACTACTACACTCTAACTACAACAATATTACTACACTATTATCTATTAAACTCTTAACTATTAATAATAATTACAAATTATTTTTGCATGTATACTTACTCTTATCCATGTTTATGACGAAATCTACCAAGATGAAATTTAGAAAGAAACTAAATGATTTAGGTTTATATTGTTTACTTTAAAAAACTATAAAAACAAGGAGAATGAAAGGAGTGATACAGAAAGTTATAGAGTATGGTCGATCATATGGAGTAGTATATGTGAAATGATGGTTTTGAGTATATTTTTGTTATACTAACAGACCAAACCCAACCCTAAACTAACCCTAGCTTACCAATATTAACGTTAACTCCTAGAAATTAAGTATAAAAGGTCATACTCAACATCAATTATATCATATACAGTGAAACCTCTCTAAATGCACCCCTTAGGACCATAGTGAAAATTTGAAAAAATGTGCATTTAAAGAGGGTGTGCATTTAAAGGGAGAAATTTTGTATGATCTTTATATACTTGGGGATGCGTGGAATGTGCATTTATAGAAAAAATATATATGCGTGCATTTAGTGAAGATGCATTTAGAGAGGTCTCTCTGTACCATACAATACTCAATTGATCGACAACTTTCTGAATGAAAGGCGTGGTGGGAAATAATTTTATATTATTATTAAATTTACAACGTAATTATTCCTCAAAATCGGCCAATAACTTAGTCTATCTCTCAAAATTTACAAAACAAAATCAACTTACAGTACATTTAATTTCCCAAAAAATCGCATTCAATCTGTAATAATCAGTTTCTAAATATTTGAATCGATTAATAGTCTTTCTATACTTAAATCTATAATGCAAAAATGTAATAACCTTTAATTTCGAAAAAAAAAATGCCTGCAGTAATTAAACTAACTTTAATTATGAAAAACCTTTTGATAATCATGATTACTAAAATATTAAGGATACTTAATGTGAATATTTTATATTCTGATAAAAATAAAAACTAAATGATTATTATTTATTTTTAATCAAATTACGGGTAATTTCTCTTAACAATGCTATGAAATAATTTTTTTTTAATATTGATAAATTCATAATAATAATAAATAATCATTTTATACATAATTTATAATGTATAAAAATCGTGTATTATAAGAATGTTATTTTCATAATGGTATTGTACGTTAATGCTAGGGATGGTAACGGTCGGTCATGATCGGTTCACGGTCGGTCAACAGTCGGTCAAAGGCCTTTGACCGACCGACCGGTTGACCGACCGGTTTTGCTGACCAGCCCATTTAACAATAATGTAATTTAAAGTTCTTGATTGATAATTTTAATTTATACTTTAAATAATGCTAACATGGCATTTGCTAAAACTTACTATTTTACTTACTTACTTATTTCTTAGTTTACTTTCATATTTTTAGTGATGTAGCTTATCGCGATTTTTTTTTTAAGATAAATTAAAAATTTTTATTTATAAAAAATAACATTATCACTAAAATTATTGTTAATTAAAGCATAGATTACTAATTAAAAAATGTTGGTCAACCGGTCGGTCAAAATCGGTCAAAATCGGTCGGTCCTAAACCTTTAACCGACCGATATCGGTCACGGTTATGACCGGTTATGACCGGTCATAACCGTAACCATTAGCATCCCTAGTTAATGCCAATATAATTATTTTTCTTGAACCATTTTTCAACTGATACAAAGTTTCGTTCATTCCACTTCTTTAATCCACTGGAGATCTTTAGTTTCTTAATGTTCCTTCAAAATATCCAACTTTTTCGTTATTATATCAATAAGTCAGTCATAAATAACAACAAAATCCTTCCAAATTTTTCAATCAAATCAGTATTATTTTCAGAATTTGCTTTATTCTCATATATGACCTTGTTTCATATGGAACTACGTGTATACCTTTATGTATAAATGGATAACTACGATTTCGTTGTATATTGTAAAAATTCTATATCTACACCTTTTAACATAATTAAATGTTAAAAATATGGACATCTAACATTAAATATTAGTTGCAAAATTATTTTCCAAATTCGTATTATACTTACTCAGCCTTTATGGCTTTTTTCTTCCAATAAGTATTTGCTGCCTTTTCGCTCTTAAAGTGGTATCATCATTAATAAAATATTGTAAATAACAAGATCAAGATAAGTCAAAAAAACTCATAAAGGAAATCTCGTTTTAAAACTTTCTAATGCTCTTCAATAAACATAGTTTTTTGAGAATTAAAATAGTTTTATAAGATAGTCGTGCCTATAATTCCAAATGACTATCATTATACCACTCACAATTATACCCAAAGACGTATTAAGGAATGTTATTTATAAAAATTAAAAATTTTTTTTACAGCTTGCTTTCGTATTTGAATACTCGTTAAATACTCTTCAGTTGAATTTGTATTATAGAATGTTAGTTTAATGATTTCTCGGATTTTTTTGCGAAATACTTTTGGGCAAATCCTTTCTGATTTTATTTCTATGGTTGTTATAAATGTTATTTAAATAAAAAATTTTTTTTTCATGTCATGTATAGCAAGTGAATTATATATAATTTGTGTGGCTTTTTGGAGCCTTTTAATTTATTTCAATAGCACGTTGCAAATACTATCGACATAATTAAATTTTTTGCATCTGGCCATGTACATTGTGCTGCAGTGATTTATGCGAAATCTTTATCAGTCAAAAAAACTCTGATTCCACATATTTATGAAGTCAAATTTTCTTTAAAAAATCTGCTATAATATCTTTCATTACAATTTACAAGAAACAGATATGCTAAAGGAAATCCAATATCATTTACTTCTTCATGAAAATCATAAAGTTTAAATTTCAAATTATTCATATTGTCTAATAAAAATTACAAAAAAAAAAGAAAGGAGGAGTTTAGCATAAAAATAAAATATAATAGAATAAAAATAGAATATTAAATTCTTTTTTTTTTTAATTATAAAAATTATAATGATTTAGATTTATTTACAAGTAGCATTAATTCCGCATTCAGATAAATAAACTTTACTTTTTTCAACTACAGGCTTGAAGAGAATACAAGAAGAGACCTGATTAATTAGCAGCCAAAGTTTGGAATACGGTGAGAAATGATGGTACTTCTTATGATAAGAAGTATTTAGGAATAACTTCTAAAAAGGTTGTTAGTGATAGTCTAGTTATGACGCATTAGTACTGCGCCAATTATAATTAGCGAATGATGATCCCGTCGATCATGGATCTCAACTTTCTCTAATTTCTTAGCGATCTTAGCGATCTATAATTTCTTATATATCTTATATATCTTTAATTTCTTATTTATAT